CCCACCACGCGTGATTTCATACAACACAGAGTCACACATCTCATCCCGCAACTCTCATTACTAATAACCGCCAAACATTAACTCTTTCATATTTAGAAATTGCTTTGAGTTTTGATCAACTGAGAAATGGGATGGAGATAAAATGTTGGCTTTTTGAGAAAACAGACCTTTACTGAAGAAGCTCACTAAAAAGAAGTCAAGTGGCCATTCCCAGAGCAGAACTTGAGGTCTGCTGCTCTCGGTTGAGAGAGGGACAAATGAGAGAGAGCGAGAGAGCGAGCCTGGGGGGCAGCAGGTGCAGAGAAAATCATTTGCTAAATCAGGAGCTGGGACTATGGTTTGCTAAAGGTATTAATTTGGTAGGTTTCAGCAAATACTAAGTTATACACATCACTTGTTACATAGTGAGAGCCTCTCTTTGGAAGACAGTGCTCTCCATCATGAGTGCTGAAGGGTGAGGAGGGACAAGGCTGGCCCTGTGGTCCTTTCAGGGAGCCTCATGCAAGCAGCTGGCAGACTGTGTGAGTTACTTTCTGTCACTGTGATAGGACACTGTCACCAAGGCAGCCTATAGAAGGAAGCGCTCACTGTGGGTTACAGCTCCAGAGGGTGAGAGTACATATGTCAGGTGGAGGCGGCAGGCAAGGAGCAGGATGCTGAGAGCTTACATCTTGAACCTGGACCACAACGCTGAGCACTATCTGAAGGGAGAGTGAAGCCTTAACCTCTCAAAGCTCAATCCCGGCGACACACTTCTTCTGGCAAGACCACATCCCCTAAATGTCCCCAGCACCGTGAACGTGTTCCAATGCACGTGCCTGCCAGAGGCCCTCCGTTCAGTCTCTTTTCTGATAACCCGTATCTTCATTTCTCACCTCTCTGACCTTCAGCTGTGGATGCTGTCCATCCTCACACTGCTGCTCTACGTGAGGTCAGTTTAATACTAAACTGCAGTTTAGTATTGCTGAGACAAACTCCTGTGATCACCAGCCTTACCTTCTCATCCGGGAAAGCTGCCAGAGTGGAGCTCTGTCCTCAAGCTCAGAGTGTTAGCGAGTCCTATCTGTCCCCTCTCCAGAATCAATGCTGAATCTGAACCCTGCCAGCACACTGGCCCTCTGGCTACCCAGCTTGCACCCTTTCTGCTCCCACATTTACTTCCCAGGACAGCCCGAGCGAACTGTTTAGAACGGGCCACCTGCCACACACAACTCCTGTGTTCCCTACCACGCTGAGGATACCCCCCCCCCCCCCCCCCCCCCCCCCCCCCCCCCCCCCCCCCCCCCCCCCCCCCCCCCCCCCCCCCCCCCCCCCCCCCCCCCCCCCCCCCCCCCCCCCCCCCCCCCCCCCCCCCCCCCCCCCCCCCCCCCCCCCCCCCGTGCCGCCTGACTCTCCCAAACAGTCCCAGGTGCATATCTCCGTGCTTGCCTGGTATCTTCGCTTTGCTTTTTCCTCTTCTGGGACATGCCGAGCTAGCTCCCGCCTCAGGGACTTGGCACAAGCTCCTCTTCCTGTCTTTCTGTCTCTGTCTGTCTCTCTGTGTGCATCTCTCTCTCTCTCTGTGTATGTGTGCATGCATGTGTTTGTCTGTTCCTCTGTGTGTGTACATGTGTGTCTGTCTGTCTCTCTGCGTATGTGTGTGTCCACTGTTAATCCCAGCATGAGAATGAAGTGAAAGAGTAATGATTGTCTCTGCCCTTCAGGTTATTCTAAAAACTGCAACAGATTAGATTACTGAAATGTATCTTTTTGATGTTTTGCTAGGCTAGCCTTTAGTGGTTGAGCCATCTCACTAGCCCAATAAATGTATTTTTTATCTTTCAGATAATGCCATATTTGGATAAAGTACATGTCCAGAGACATACAAATAAATTCTCTTCCATCAATCTTCAATGTCTGTGAATTACTGAGAAATACTAACTATAAAAGAAATTGACCTGGTGTCATAGTGAATGCCTGTAACCTCAACATCAGGAAGACAGTGAATTTCAGGCCAGCCGGGGTCATATCTCAGGTCCTTGTCCCTAAAAGGGCTGGAGACGTGTAACAAAATAAGACTAAAGCTAACCTTTCTCTTCCCAACAGTAAATGGCTGGTTTCAAGAACCTTGAAAGCTAGCCTCCTACTTTGATGAACCTGGGTACTGACAGAAGAGATGAAACTCTTGGTTCACAGCAAGACAACTCTGGCTCTAGCTAATTCTCTGGCCTCCAGCCCACTGCCACAGGGCCCTCAGGGCTAGGCAAAGCTCCAGGTAGAGACACACAGGTTCGGGTTGCACAGTAGAGGATCCTGCTGAGCATAAACAGCCAAGCCTTTGCTGATAAGGAGACTTTATCTTTATTGTACGAGGTCAGGAGGCCTACCTCGGGTCCAGAGGGAGACCTTATCTCTGTCTTCTGAGGTACCAAGACTATCAGAGCCTCTGTTCCCTGCCTGGACAGGAACGAGAGGCCAGACCTACAGTTTGTACCCTAAGCAGCCCCATTAGAGATGACAAGGCTCAATATTCTTAAGGCGCCAGCACAGAGCCACAAATGCCAGGTTACACACAGCCTCCCTTCCCTGGCCCCATCCCGCCTCTCCTGTAGGTGTGGCTCTGCCTTCTTAGAACTGGCTGCAGTTCTCTGGCTCCTTTGCCTTCTTGTGGTTTAAATCCTACCTCCTTCCTAATACCTTCCTTTAGCCCTTCCCATTACACACTTCCCATTACACACTTCCCATTACACACTTCTACTTTGCCCTGTGTACCCTATAGCAGTCTTGAGGTAAAGCCAGAAACTCAGAAAGAAGTACAGTTGTATTTGAACTCTGACCCTACCTGAAACAGCAGACATTCTCATCTCCCTGGAGTGCTCCCTTAGGTCAGTGTTCCCTCAGTCAGCATGTGGTAACAGGCGTTTCTTTTCTGCCCTGGCTTCCTGCGGGCCCTCAGTTCAGCCTACTAACGTGCACGCAGGATTCCTGCTGCTTCCCCAGTTCTCTGGGATGAACATTAGTGGTGCAGCATTGTAACTAGAGCCATGGACAGCGGGAACTTCCTCTCTAAGCTCCGACAGACTTACATGTCCTTTCTCAGCACCGCAGTGTGCTCAGAGAGAGGGGATGGCAGAGCCAGAGGCCAAACAAAACCAACTAGACAGTGACCTACTAAGGAGGCCTCTGGACAAGAAGGGCCCGGGTTAATACAAGGCCTGGGTTGATTCCTCAGCATGAATGGGCTGTGTGAGGATACTCAGACATAAAAGCCCTTACTCGTTTGTACTTTTCCTTGAGTAGAAGAGAATCCACTCAGGAGCAGAGACCAGAGAATCTGCATATTTCTCTTAGAGATTTTGCTGAATTTTGGAATTATAACCCCCTTTTGTAGGCTCTTCCTTCTTCAGGAGCCTGTGAGACCAGTTACAGAGCAGTCTGGACCTCATCCATTGTTCCAGGCTGGGTGCTAACACACATCTTTAATCTCAGCACTCAGCAGGCAGGGGCAGACGAATATCTGTTAGTTCAAGGCCAGCCTGGGTGGTGTACATAGTGAGTTTCAGGCTTGCCAGGCTTTCAGGGGGTTGGGGGTGGGGGACAGAAATGAAAAACAATTTGCTGTGGCCACATTGGGAGGAAGTCAAGAGGTCATCACCAGGATATGTGTGTGGGGTTTAGATTTAAACAGAGGGGGCGTGTATATCTAAGTCATCCTGGTCGAGAGGTACTGTCAGCCACGGTTGGCACATCAGTGTCCAGGTTCTGATCTGTCCCGGAAGGCGACCTGCTAAGTTGTCAGACCTGTATAATCTCTTCTTGCGAGAAAGTTCCTCCTTCAGCTGGCACCAGATTAAAGTCTCTTTTCTATAAGCTTGTGATTTCTGGAGAAATTCTAGTTCCTTGTTTTAATTTCTGACAGCCAACCAAAAGGAGAAAGTACAAGTGTCTCTAGAATAACGAAAGGTCTTGAATGGGGGTTCACGGGGACACTGGGACAGACCGGTGCTGTTAATAAAAGGGGTATTAATGTCAGGACAGACAACAGCATGGCAGGGATTCTGAGGAAAGTTCAGATAACATGGTGGGGGCTCTGAAGGAGGAACTGGGACCCGCAGAAGTGTAGGTTTCACAGTACAAGCCCGTAGTCAGGCTCCGATTCACAGGCAAGAGGCAGGGGAGGGTGGGGAGTGGGATGAGTGGCTACCAATACCCTTTGATGTAAACTCACTCCCCCAGATGAGAAGTCCTGGAACTTGGAAGCGTGTTACCTAAAGGTTCACGGTGTTCTCTGCCGGATGCCTGTCAGCACCTGTGAGAATGACTGCCACAGGCACTGTGACCAAGCAGCAGATGAAATAAACATTACAGTCTTAAAAATATCTTCACCCAGATGCCAGGACTAGTACCATATCACAATGGCTACCATCACCCCATTCCAGCCCATCATCCTAGGCCAAATCATGGTGCCCTAAGTTCAGTGCTTAAGCACAGATGACAGGCTTCCCGATTCCAGGATCAATTAACAGGTGTATGCACAGGCTGGGTCAGTCTCTTTTCTCCTGTAATCTTCTCCATCAACAGCCAACATCTCCAGCCTGCGTCACAGAGGCCTGCTCACGTCCTCGAAGGTAAGCTTTTACTACTAGCCAGGTGCTGCGGTGTAGGGCTCAGGTGCAGCTGCTTGGGAAGCTGGGTCAGCCTAGGCCACACAGTGAAACTTGTCTCTTTAAAGGGTGGGTATCACAGGGCTCTCACAGCTGCTCTTTCTTCTGGAAAAGGCCCCCTTCCCTGCACAAATCAGACCTGGTTACCTCCTGCGTGGGCACCTTGGCTAGGAATCACGCCAGAGGCATAGTGACCACATCTGAAGTGTATCGAATTCTCCATGCACACGCTAATTATTACATATTCAAAGTAAAAAAATCCATGGATCCTCTATAAGCTTATTGTTAAGCGGGGGAAAGTGGGTTGGGGGCTCCTTGAGGCTTTCTCCCGTTAAGTGAGCAGTCAGTCCAGAAGTTAGTGTGTTTGTGGGGTTTTCCCAGTCTACTCCTGGATCAGCTGATTGAAAGTTGGAACCCAGAGTTTCAGTAGCCACGTCAAACTCCTCTATTTTTTTTTAAAAAAAGTTTTCAGAAATTATTATTTTTTTTTATTTATGTTTATGTGTGTCTGTTTAGGGGTATGCCACACGTGTGCTAGTGGCAGAAGAGGCCAGAAGAGGGGGTTGCATCTTCTGGAATTGGATGGAGTTGCAGGCAGTTGTAAGCCACCCAGTGTGGGTTCAGGGAACTGCGGGAGTCTTCTCTTCCAGAGCGCTCCTAATGGTTGAGCCATCTCTCCAGCCCAGAGTTTGTTTTTAAAAGAAACATTTCTGTAAAACTGACTGCTGCCCACATAAGTGGCTTCTTCACTTGAGACCATTCAAGCAAACACTTGTTCCCCAGTGCTGTCCTGAGCTGACCTGGCCATGGGCAGGAGGTTTCGAAGCTATTTCTGGAGCAGGTCCTGAAGCTTGGGAAACAGTTTTAAGGCATTCTGTGTCGTCACTTCTTGAACTTCTTCCACTGAGATCCCTTTCACCTGGGCAATGAATTCTGCTGAGATGGAAATGTTGCAGGGTTCGTTCCGTGTCTGCGAGAGAACAAAGTGGAACACTCAGTGTCTACAGATCCTGGGGACTGTAGCTAGGACATGCACACGAGAACGAGCAGGTCAAACACCTGATGACACCTTTGCTACTCCGAAGGAACCGGCATTTCTTTATTAATGCTTTTTAAATGGGGGAATGAGTTTGGCAGGGCGTGCTACATGCTGATTCTACCTATGCTGTTCAGGAGAGATCCTAGTGGTATCTGCAGGTGAAGCCCTGAGCCCACAGTGTTCGAAGAAGTCTACCATCCGGCAAGGGCAGCTTGTCTCAAGGTTAGCTGGCCTTTGTGCTTTTGCAAACACAGGTGCTGGGAAATGTCACTGCACTCTCCTTGGCCTCTCCCTTCACAGGCAACCTGCCCAGTATTATTTAAAATGCCCAAGGACCGGAAAGACTGCTCGATTAGGTTTCGCCATCTGACTGACTGACTCTTAATACCCGTGAAATAGGCATTTTGCTTAATGACCCTCTCTAGAAAAAACAGTATTTCTGCAAGCAATCGCATATAGACTTAGTGAAAAACATTCCTATAATTATTAATACGTGAATACTTGGGATAATAACTAGAGGAATAAAATTATATACATAATTACAGATTATATATATAATTACAGATCATATATACATATAATATATCTGTATATGAATAAATGATCTGGAAGGACAAGAGACCTTAAACCTAGAGATTTTTTTTTTTTTCACAAATAAGGCTTCATTCCCTTCCTGGAATGTCTCATTTAACATCTATGAGACAGTAAACTGCTCACAGGAAAGATGATATCTTAAAAAGATAATGGTGGCTTTGACACCAGCACTTGAAGATGGGTGTTGTGGTGCATGACTTTAAGCCCAGCACTCGGGAGGCAGAGAAAGGCAGACCTCTGTGAGTTCGAGGCCAGTTTGGTCTACAAAATGATTCCAGGTCAGTCAGGGCTACACAAATCCTGTCTTGGAAAAACAAAACAAAACAAAACAAAGCAAAAAACAAACCAGCACTTAAGAGGCAGAGGTGGACAGATTTCTGTGAGCTTGAAGCCAACCTGGTCTACACAGTGAGCTCCAGAACAGCCTGGACAACATAACAAAGACTGTTCATTTACTGCCAGGTACTTTCATATAAATTTCTTCATGTAAACCTTATAAAATATTTTGCTATTTTACCCATGTTTCATAACTGAAAAGTCAGGTAGGCATAGTGGTACATACCAATAATCCAGTTCTCAGGAATCAAACATAAAGGAGCTGGAGGCCAAGCTCAGCTATATAGTCTGAGTCTGAGGCCAGCCTGTATTATATATGTCTCAGTTTCAGTGAAAGAATGGATGAACGGATGGATAATCAAACAGGTAAATATAGCCTTGGAGAAATGAAGTAGCTTTTCCAGTCAGGCAATCACGTCCTGAACTGTTAAGAAGGGGCTGAATGGAAGTCTCGATAGCTCCAGACATGTCTAGACACTCACTATTACACAACTGAAAGCAAGCTTCTTGTCAAATGATATTCTCTGAACCAGAACAGTATTCAAAAGAGACTCTCCAGCCAGGCGGCGGTGGTGCACACCTTTATCCCCAGTACCCAGGAAGCAGAGGCAGGCAGATTTCAGTGAGTTCGAGGCCAGCCTGGTCTACAAAGTGATTTCCAGGACAGCCAGGACTGTTACACAGAGAAATCCTGTCTTGAAAAACCAAAACCAAACCAAACCAAAAAGAAAAAGACTCTTCAAGGTCTCCACTTAGCATCCGCGTATCACAGAGAGTCCCAGCTAAGCCAGCACGGCCCTGTACCCATAGGAAGCATCTGTGCCCATAAACCAGAGGTCCACTTACCAGTTTTTCTGGTCCCAGTGCAGGGGAGTCTGTCTCTAAGCAGATAGAGCTTAAAGGCAGCTGTTTCACAAGCTTCTGCTTCTTAGAGAGAAGAGAGAGCGAGCTTTAAACGGGGGATGGGACAGCATTAACTTACATATGGACAAGTCTTGGCCTGCAGGGCTCTAACACCCACTGTTACCGCTAAGTCGCCGAGCTATCCAGACAGCTACCATGCTCTCAGCGTTCTACTTCAGGTAAGAATAGTCAGTCTGGCAGTGGTGGTGCACACCTTTGATAACCAGCATGTGGGGTGGGTGCAGAGGCAGGTGGATCTTTGGCAAGTTGGAAGTGGCCATCCTGGTCTACAGAGAGAGTTCCAGGGCAGAGAAACCATGTCTCAAAAAAAAAATATTGCATAAAATTACAAAAATTATTCAAAGTTTTCTTTAGAGATGTATCTACTTAACCCCTTTCATGCACCAGGCGGTGATGGACACCTTTAATCCCAGCACTCAGGAGGCAGAGGTGGGCAGATCTCTGACTTTGAGGCTAGCCTGGTATGCAGATGAAACTCCAGGACAGCCAAGGCTATACAGCATCCTTTCCGGCTTTGTGGTCAGGCCCAGTTCTTACTACTGAAATGTAGCAGCACTTACATGTCCTTGACACCACGGCCTCACTGGACACAATTTGGAAGTAGTTTTTCCTCCTGTGGGTTCTCTTTTTATTTTATTGATAGTATATTTTGAAATATAATAGTCTTATTTTCTTTTTCTGTAGAAATTTAGTATTTTAATGATGCCTAATTTCACCATTTTTTCTTTGATCACTTGTGGTTTTGGTGTTATCTCTAGGAAACCACTGTTTAATTCAGGATCAAAAAGTCCAGAGTTTAAAAACATTGCCTCTTGCTGGGCAGTGGTGGTGCACGCCTTTAATCCCAGCACTAGGGAGGCAGAAGTGGGCGGATCTCTGTGAGTTTGAGACCAGCCTGATTTACAAAGCAAATTCCAGGACAACCAGGGCTGTTACACAGAGAACCCTGTCTTGAAAAACAAGAACAAGAACAACAATAACAAAAATACTGGCTCTTACATTTAGGTCTTGATTCATTTTTTTAAAAGATTGATTTTATTTGTGTGTGTATAGGGGGGAAGAGACAGAGAGAGCTTGTGTGTGTGTACACAGAAGAGGGCCTCAGTTTATCTGAAGCTGAGTTACAGTTGGTTTTAAGCCACCTGACATGGGTGCTGGGGACAGAATTCAAGTCCTCTGACTCTTTTTGCTCTTTTATTTTATTTTTTTGAGGCAGGGTCTCACCATGTAGCTCTAGCTCTCCTATAACTCACTATGTAGACCAGGTTGGCCTCGAACTCAGAGATCTGCCTGCCCCTGCCTCAGCAGTGTTGGAATTACAGGTGTGCCACCGTGTCCAGCATCACAGTAGCGCTCTTTCCTACTGAGCCGTGTCTCTCCAGTCCCTCTCAGTGCCTTCTGTTTTGTTTTGTCCTGTTTTGTTTTTTGAGACAGCATTTCTCTGTATAGCTTTGGAGCCTGTCCTGGCACTGGCTCTGTGTAGCAAGCTGCGTGGTGTCACACCTGATGGAGATGTATAATCAACTGAGATGGCTAAGGCCTGACCTATGCTATGATCACGCAATGATTATCAGCTGCCTGCATATGCGTGAACCTATGGGCAGTGCCCACCTGGCAGTTCGGGGTTGGCAGCCCATGCCTACTTAAGGGCTGGGAGAGGTTTGCCCGGAGAGAGAGAAAAGAGGAGAGAGGAAGGAGAGAGAGAAGAAAAGGGAGAGGTCAAAGAGAGAGGGGAGGAGAGAGAGAGGTCAAAGAAAAGGGAAAGGTCAAAGAGAGAAGGGAGAGAGAGAGAAAGTGAATAAAGTCCTGGAATAAACTGCAGTGAGAAGAGCTCAGGTGGTTGCGTCATCCTTGCGGGACGAGGGTGGCCGCGACAGCTCTGTAGGCCAGGCTGGCTTCAAACTCACAAAGATCTGTCTGCCTCTGCCTCCCGAGTGCTGGAATTAAAGGTGTGCGCCACCACTGCCCAGCCTCAGATACTTTGCTGTTTTGGTAGAGAGTTAGATTAACTTTGAAATAGAAGCATCACCAGTTCATCCCAAAGCTTAGGTTTTAACTGTGTCACATGTGTTCAGCGAGTCACAATGAAAGGCCTTTACCTGCCCGCTTCTTACGATGGACGGTGGGATCGAGAAGTAGTAACCTGCCCTTACTCCTTCCATGGCTACCGACGGCCGACCATCAAAGGCATGCAGTAGGACCTGTTCAGCACCTTTCAAACGAAAGAAATCAGAGTTCCATTACAGAGGGTTTGTCCCATAACAAAGGGTTTCCCCATTAGTGAAATTAAACAGATCTGAATTTTCAGTAAATATTTATCAACATGATATAAAGATCAGATTCCATAACTTCTGAAGTTTCAATAAACATACAGTGTTCAAAGGGGGGAAAATACGTTTTTAATCTTCAGAATAAAATGGATAACATTGAAATGCAATTTTTAAAAACAATCAGAACTATTTACACTAGATCTTCATATACATCTATGAATTGTCAAATTATTGGTTCTAATAGGAGGGTTTTAGGTAAACTGTTTTCCTAACAGACATGCTGGTAGAAAAAAATGGACTCACAAGTCAAACAGACCTTGCTCATAAAACCAATCCCTGTTCTTTTTGTAATTGTGTTGTGGTTTGTGTGTGTGTGTGTGTGTTGCTGAGGACTAAATCCAGACCCTTACTCATACCAGGCAATACCCCTAGCACTAAGGTACATTCTTTCACACAAACTCCAGCCCTTAAAGGGGAATTGTTCAGCCTGGATAAAATCATGTGTTTGGTGACTCCAGAAGGCCTCAGTATTGCTGACAAATTCATCAGCGACCACACCTCTACTGGCAGGTAGCTCCGTTACTTCAGTAGCTGTTTTTTCAATTAGTGTGAATCTTCATTATGATCATAAAAATGTGAAATTTGATAGGTCATAATAACCAATGTGGGTTTTTTTTGTATATACACAACTGTAGACTAAACACACTTGTATACATACACGTACATGTACTGTTAAACGTCTAATAGGATTTTTTTATGCAAATAGGAGTCTAAAAACAAGTTGTATTTCTTATTGTGGATGGCATTTTAAACTTCAGAGAAGAATGCTGTAAGCTATGTTCGTGTCTGGAAAGTCACACGAGGGCCACCGTCTGCACAGTACTGCTTTCTATTGTCAGTCACTTATTATTTCATATATTTATCATATGTGCCTGTGCAAGCACCCATGTGCCATGGCAGAAGTCAGAGGACAACTGAACTCTGGTCATCAAGGTTGTGACAAGCCTCTCTATTACAAGGCCCCAAAAGGAACAGATAGAAAACGTGTAAAAGAACACAGTAATCAGTAAGACAGTCTTTTTCCTTATTTTCTCTTTCTTATCAGAGCCAGGGGCTGGAGAGATGGCTACGTGGTCAAGGGCACTTGCTGATCTTGCAGAGGACCTGGATTTGGTTCCCAAAACCCACATGGCACACCTGTCTGTAACTCTCACTCCAGGGGACCTGATGCCCTCTTCAGGCGACTGAGGACACTTGGCACACATGCAGCGAACATACATACACGCAGGCAAAACACTCATACACATAAAAGAAAAACAAATAAATCTAAAAGAAAAATAAAAATTTGGAGCGTCAAGCCTCCATTTGTTAGAGTCGAGCCTGCTAAATACATAATTGCACAAAACAACCTTGTAAATATTAGCCTGGCATATAAACTCATCCCAGTGGGACTCTCTCTCATCTTGATGCATTCTCTTCTCTTTAAGGAATCAGATGGAACACACTTGCTCCTTCCACCCTCAGCTGGAATTGCGACTGTGAGAAGTAGGAAGACAAGTACCTTGTTCACGTAAGAGGCTGATGGTGGGCCTTCCTGCTGAGCGTGAGTGCACGTTTCTGTTTGACAACAGCAAAATTCTTTTGAAGTCTTTTAAATAGGAAAGTACTGTTCTTATTGTTTTAAAAATAATTGAGGAGGCTGCAGAGATGGCTCAGCTACTCTTGCAGAGGACAAGGTTTGGGTCCCAGCACCCACATGGCAGCAGCTGGTTATTAACTGTAACCCCAGTCCCGGGGGGGGGGGGTTCAGTGCCCTTTGCTGGCCTCCACAGGCACTGCGCACACAGGTCCACAGACATACATGCAGGCGAACTAAAAGATAACTCAGATGAAAGGAGACACAGAACTCATTTTAAGAGGCCCAGCTGTTAGGGAATTTGCCCTGCAGTTCTGAGCAGAAGGGCAGTTCACCTACAAAGGCACATTCAGTCTTCTGGCCAACTGGACCTGTCTGATCAGGACCTGCCTTTGTTCTTCCTTCTCTTCATCAGTGCCTGCAAATTTGGGGGTGAAGTCTAGTCCCACCTGTATCAGAAAGACAGAAGATAACCGCATCTCCATGAGCCCGAAAAGACTATTGGTCAGCACACAGACCATATACAACCACATTAAAATATTAGCCACAGTCATATAATTAACTTAAAAGTATACTTGACGTACCCCAACGTCTAAGTTGTTTTATATTCCTCTTGTGGGGTCCTCCAACTCTAAGACTCATTGTGTATGTCACACACGTCAGTTTGGTGCAGTAACACTGTTAGTATTCCAAAGTCACACATGGTCACTGCGCTGGGCAGCACAGACTACAGGTGACCACCTCCTACTGATGCTACCTGGGCATGTATTCTATGACGTCTACTCAGAAAGTGTTTTCTTATCTTCTATATTAGTAGGAAGTAGTATTTTTTTTTACTGTGATAAAAATTCTTTACCATTATTAATAGTTTAAGTAACATGGTGTTTCACTACAAACTCAAGATTAAAGTATGCCTTATGAAGGCTGGTTGTTGTTTTGCTTTTTTGACACAGGGTTTCTCTGTATAACCACCTGGCAGCCTTGGAACTCACTCTGTAGATCAGGCTGGCCCTGAACTCACAGAGATCTGCCTGTCTCTGCCTCTCCAGTGCTGGGATTAAAGGCATGCGCCACCACCGCCGTTGTTGGGAGGAGGGACACATGGATGCCAAGGCGCACACGCGAGGTCAGAGGTCAGCTTTCAGGAGTCAGTTATCTCCTCCCCATGTGGGTTCAGATCCCCAAGCTTGTTGGCGAAGGCTTCCACCTGCTGGACCCTTTCACCAGCCCTCCCTCTACAGACTGTGTTAGCTTCTTAGAGCAAAAGTAAAGTCTTTAGAAATATTATTTCATCATTTTCTCCTATTAAAGTAAGTCTAGAGTAAGGCTTTCTATTGCTTCATTCCCAATAGTACCAAGTTATTAGCATACTGAATGGGGTGAAAATAACTATCCAAGTTGGCTATAATCACTAGTATTGGTTACTGCATCTATCCCATGGAGATCCAGATTAGACACCATTTGATCAGCAAAGGGCTTTACCTCTCCAATTGCCAACAACCGATCCTTGTATTTCTCAATAATAGGCAAAGCTACATCCAAATCCTGCAAGGAAAAGAAATGTGTTAATGCCAAGAGTAGGAATAATAGTTCCTCGTTTTGTACTATGTGCCAGGTTCTGTGCCACATGACACTGCACACAAGTGAATCCGTTTAACCAACCTATGACACAGGAATCATCGTCTCTACCACGTCAGCAACTCTAACTGCATAGGTTCTGGTTGCAGGCCCACAAAAGTTCCACTTACAACTGGCCTTCTGCTAGGAGATGTTTCCTTACAGGCTTGGAGGAACCTGGAGAAGAAGCTGCTTAAGTTCCTGGAGGGGGTAAGAAGACGTGGGTGGTCGTCACACACATGGCTTTGCCCTCTCCTAAGCAGTGGTCTCAGTTTATAATAGTGGTAGTTCCATCTTTTTCCCTTTGTTCTTTTTTTCATTGATTTGTCTTTATAATCCTGCTTGTTCTAACTGTAATATGAGTTCAGCAAGATAAACAATGCATGTCACATATAATCTTGTCAGGGAACTACTGAAGTAGTGGCAGACCCTTAATATCAGTGGTACTGCCTTTTGCATTCAAGAGAATCTGACCTATGATGGTGTCCTTCTAAGGCAAAGACAAAATTTAGAAATCACTTGTAGATAATTTTCAGAAGATTGGCTTATGGTGTGTGTGTGTGTGTGTGTGCGCGCGCGCCTGTCTCAGTGAGTTACATGCACCATGTGTGTGCAAATGCCTGAGGAGGTCAGAGGGCATGGGAACTGGATACTTCAGGTGGTTGTCACCTGGATGCTGGTGTCAGGAACCCAACCTGTGATTTCTACAAGAACAGTGTGTGCTCTTAGTGCTGAGCCATCTCTTCAACTCCCTGTAGAACTCTTTAAATCACTCTGTGGATTGTTTTCAGAATATGTAAACTGTAAAGGTCTTCTACTGAAGAAAATCAGAATGAGAGAACCAAGGGAAGGAGGTGAAGAGATGACGGAGGGAAAAGAGGTGTGTGCTCATGAAGAGAGGGAGGAGGAGGCCAAGAGGAGTAAATTAAGGCCCTGGGAAGATATCAAGCAGACTTGGTCAAGAAGTATGCACACTCCCCAGGAGAGCCAGAAGTGTTGGACCCTGCATAGCGGACAAGCTGGTGGCAACATCTGGATGGCTGTCAGACAAGGCTCCATCCTTAGCGGGCATCCACACAATCTACCTCTGGGACCAGGGGCCCTGGAGAAGAGGGAGAAATCGCTCACTCAGAAAGTCTGATTCAGAAGGAGGCTGAAGGTCAGATGCAGCTCCTTACAGTGTGGAGTTATGAGAAAAGCAGCAAAGACCTGCAGGGGACCCCAGTTCAAACCCAGTGAAAGAGCTGGGAGGTTTCTGGCAAGTCAAGTGGTAGACGCAAGACTGAGACTATATGACCGGATTCACACTACTTGCTGTCTCAGTCAGGGTTTCTGCGCTGTGAAGAGACACCATGACCACGGCAACTCCTATATAGGAAAGCATTTAACTGGGGTAGCTCACTCGGCGTTATTGTCACGGCAGGAAGCATGGCAGCATGCTAGCAGATGTGCGGGAGAAGGAGCTGAGAGTCTCACATCTTGACTCAGAGGCAACAGGAAGCCAGCTAAAAGTCACACTGAAGGAAGCTTGAGACCGCGAAGCCCACCTCCACAATGACACACTTCTTCCACCAAGGCCTCTTCTCCTAATAGTGCCATTCCCTGTGAAGGCCATTTTCTCTCAAACCCCCACATTTATTTAATGCATACAAGTGTATTTTATGGGCTTTCATTATTTTAAATTGTGTGTATGCAGGTGCCTTCAGAGGCTAGAGACACTGGGTCTCCCAGGGGTGAAGTTACATGTGGTTATAAGCTGCCCAGTGAGAGTGAAGGGAATCGAACCTGGGTGCTCTCTGCAAAGGCCTCTGTTTTCTTAGCCACTGAGATGTCTCCCTGGCCCCTGGACTTCCACTATTTTAGCTGGGCATTGAACCTAGGACTCCATACATGGTGGGCAAGTCCCCTTCCAGCCCTCTATCACTTTTTAATGGACAAGCAGCATGACATGGTTAAAAAACATGAAAAAAAGGAATCCTTAATCCCCACTGTATCATCATGTCATAGAATCTTGACTTGATGGAAGGTGCTGTTTCTTTTGGGGGGGGGTTGGGGTTGTTTTGTTTCATTTTGTTTTTTGAGATAGAGCTTCTCTGTGGAAAAGCCCTAGCTCTCCTGGAATTTGCTCTTATAGACCAGGCTGGCCTCAGATTCACAGAGATCCACCTACCTCTCTGCCTCCCAAGTGCTGGGATTAAAGGTGTGTGCCACCACCACTCGGCTGTTGTGGGATTATTAATACAAATCAGGAGGCCGAACCAGGAGATCGTGAGTTCAAGGTCAGGCTGGACAATTCAGGGCAACCCTGTCTCAGAATAAAAATGTAGCTGAGGTTACAGCTCAGTGAGAGAATGCTTGCGTGGAACGCCTGAGGCCCTCGGTCTAACCCCTGGCATTCTCCTCCCACATCACAAAGCCTATAAATTAGAGAGTGGTGTGAGGGTGGCCACCGAGACAGCAGTGACAATTTTTATGGCTCTCACATTTTACATGACTTTTACCTTTAATGTCACACTTCTTGATTTTTCTGGTGAAAGTTCTTGAACTGGGTGAACTCCCAGACATGGCAGGATGAATCCAGGGTATCTAAAAATGTAGAACAAGTTAAGGAAGCAAGAGTAGGCCAGGAGACCACAGTGTCTCTCTGAGGACAGAAAGGAAGTGCTCTGCTTTCGGGCTATCGTCACATGCCCTTTCCTCCCTGATCTTTCTATTTCCCTTGAGACAGAGTCTCCCTGTGCAGCACTGGCTGGCCTGGAACTCACCATGTAGACCAGACTGGGCTAACCTCACAGGGATTCTCCTGTCCCCGCCTCCTAAGTGCCAGGTTAAAAGCATATGCTATCATGCCTGGCTCTCCTCGTTCTTTAAAAAAACAATTCCTTGATATTATTTAAATTGGACATAACTATCTTTCTTAGCAACTCTTTAAAATCTTCATTGGAGCAAGTGTAGGGTGTACACTTTGGTCTCAGCACTAAGAAGGCTAAGGTGGGAGAACTGCTTGAGTTCATGAGTTCAAGACTGGTCTCGGCAGCATAAATTACAAATCTTAATTAGAAGTAGTGCCAGAGGTAGAGAGGTGGCTCAGCAGGTAAAACTTAGGGACTGGAGTTCAGCTCCAGAGCTGGGCAGGCATGGTGGCTTCCGATGACTCAGCAATTGGGAGGCAGGGGCAGGGGATCTTAGAAGCGAGTCACTCTAGTGTGAGTAGACAGAACCAGTGAGCTCTGGGTTTAGTAAGGAAACTGACCTCAATAAATAAAGAGGAAATCTGTTAAAGAAGACACCTAATATCAACCTTGGATGCCCATACATACATGCATGTACACAGATGTGAACACCACACACACACCACACACTCACACATACCACACTCACTCACCACACACACCACATACACAACACACACACACTCACATACCTACTCACACGCACCACATACACACACCACACTCACACACCACACACACCACACACATACTCATATGCACCACACACTCATACACACCACACGCACCACATTCACTCACCACACACACACATACTCATATGCGCCACACACTGACACAGACACACTCTCACACACTCACATACACATCAAGAAGAAGAAAAACAACACCTCTCTGAAAGTTGCATAATTCTTTCAAATTCTCCTGCATGTTCAGCCACTGCCACAAGGGCTATAACATTAGCCTAAAAAAAAAAAAAAAAAAAAAAAAGGATCAGAATTCCAAACAATTTGTACATTTAATATAAATTGAGGGAAATGTTAAAGTTTTTCATATATTTTATTCTTCTTCTTTACCAGGACCCAATAATATAATCCAAATGACTATCACTGAGTATTTATTTCAGGCCCTATGCTCAGTGAATACAAATGTCACCTCATTAACCTACACAGACCAAAGGTAGGCATTGCTTTAATTCGCTGGACAGAGACGGCATTTTGGAAGGAAATCAAGGCCCTTAGGCTGACGTGACTCTAAGGCCCATTCGTCAAGTAAGCTGCTAATGACAGTGTGGAACTAATTTCATAAATACTTCCAAGATTTCATGATTTTTTATTTTCAATTTTATTTAGCCTCTCTCTGTGTGTGACAGGAGCACGAGCATGCGCAGGCATATGTAAGCCACAGAAGCACGTGGAAATTGGAAGACACCTTGCAGGACACTGTTCTGTCCTTCCACCGTGGCCCCAAGGGCCGAGCTCAGAACACTAGCTCTGCGGAGTGCTTCTTCTATACTCTCAGCCATCTTTCCTGTCCTTGCTAACTTTTCCCTAACAAATCAAAATGTTTCAGAAGACTGTTGTACTAAATCCTGGATCTCCAAAGCAATGTGAGCTTAGGAAGTGATTAGTGGCTGTAGGAACATGTTTTCAAACCAGACTACTGTGTCTTGGCCCTGCTACTAACCTTTAGACATCAGAACTTTCGTCTGTCAAATGGAGAATATATGATTATAAAAAAGCAACTTCCTCAGAAGGTGTTGAGACTTTAAACGAGCTGACGTTAGGAACGGCTTAGCTCTGTGGCTCGCATAGACCTTGGAAACATAGAACATGTCTAAACAGTACCTGGACATAATATGCCAAGCGAAACAGGACGGGAACAGAAGAGGGGCAATAATGGATGCTAACTTACCTTCTTGGCTTTCTCCAACACATCATCCAGATCCTACAAGAACATAAACAACCACGCTTACTTTACATGAGTAGTTACTGCTCTTCAGCCATATACGCAGCTGGGACACCATAAGGGACAACACTGCCACAGGGTGGCAGAAGGTAAAATGTCTCCACAGACCGGCTTCCTGCTTTCTCTTACCCTCAGTAACACGCATCGCGCACAACAGAAACTTCTGCTGCTGAATACACAGGAAGTTCTGCCCCTCTTTACCCCTCAGCAACTTCTATAAACACACACACACACACACACACACACACACACACACACACACACACACTTTGCTTTTACAGTTTCACTGTCTCGCTGGTGGCTGCTCTCCAGTCTCCTTGACTGACTGTCCTCTGTGACTTCAAGCTCTTCGGTTCTCTCTGCACCTGTAAGAGATCTCATCTGTCTTGTCTACTTATTTAGCACCCTTGGCCACGCCATGCCATTTCTCTACCGCTGAGCTACATCCTCAGCCTCTCGTGGTTTTAGGTAGCACACTGAATCTCCAACTCACCTCAGTTTTTACTCTCTCTGAACCCACGACTCATATTCTAATTCCTATATAATCTTTCCATCTGGATGAGATCAAATTTACCAATATGTCCCCACTAGGGATTCTATCTGCCTGCCTCTCCACTCCCATCCCACACCATGGTCTTCATCTCAGCAAAGGGTATCACCACCTTACAGCACAAACCAGAAACGTAAGCACATTCGAGTCCTCCTTTCCCCTTGTGCTTCACAGCCAAGTCCCCGGCATGTATTGTTGGAGCTATTTCTAAAATACCTTGAGTACTTTTACTCTGATACAATATCATCCTAGCTTCTACCGTCTCCTGTCTGTACTGAGACTTCTTACGAGGCCTAGCTTTCTCTCCTTTACCTTTTTGCTGTAAAGGCCAGCCATGATAATCTAAGTCTTTACTTCCTCCAACCATTATCACCTGGGACTCTGGCCATCCATGAATTTCAGTGGAGGCTGGAGTCTCAGTTGTTTACCCTGAGACGAAGCCAGGCTGCCGGAGGAACCACAAGCTGAGATCACCCGACCCCCACCCAAGAACAGACTATTCAAAGGGAATTCCTGTTATTCCAAGTACTGTAGATTGAAACACTTGCAGCTCACAATCACTAGGAAACCCTAGATGAATGTCAGCCAATCAGGGGTCTTAAAACCTCAGAAACACCTCACCCCCACCTTTACTACTATAAAACCCTATTCTAATTGAGCTCAGGGCTCTCCGGTTATTCCAATACGTTGGACATGCGGGGAGACCGAGTTTGCAAACTTAATTAAAGGCGCTTTGCATTTACATACTGGACTCTTGGTTTCCTTGTGGGCTTGTTGGGGATTGCGGATTTGGGCGTAACATTTCCACAAAGCAGCAAATTTGTGTTCAGAATATTCTTTTTTTAAAATGAGTAGTCTTAAAACTTCAATGGGTGAAAAGTGCAAACTCAATGCAATCCGAATGTCTGACTAACCTACCTCTCCCATACCCTGGAAATCTCTCCAATCTTTGAAAATTCTATTAATCGCTTCCAGTTGTTGGTTAAGTAAAACAGGCTGAATTCCAAACTGTATGGGTGTCTATAACCTGCCGGCGGTCTTACACCATAAGCGTCATCTGCTAAGAGACAGACACCTGCTGCTCCTCCATCTGCAGTCTTCCCAACGTAGCAGGTAAAACCTATTTCCATCCCTACACACACGTGTTATTCTTGTTTGTCCCTCTGCCGGTCCAGAACTGGGACTTCTGCTAAGGGCGGGGACGGATCAGTACATCTCAGGAATGATAAGAGAAAGGACTGTCGAAAGGACAAACACAAGCTTCGTGGAGATAGTTTGCCACTAACTAAGATCAGAAAGAACAACCAGGACGACGACGGAGGTTCAAAGGGAAACTGGTCAGGTCGCCATAGACTAGGTAGGGTTTGAGGATTTGGGGAGAGGAAAGATAACTTTCGGGAAAGGACGCGGCCCTCCCGACTCCCGCAGGCCCCCAACTCGCCCTCACATACGCTGTTAAAGTCCGGGGCGGAGAGATGGCAGTGACAGTCCACTAGCCCCGAACCCACTGCCATTTCTGCAGGAAGCCGAAGGAAAAGTCTGGGGCCACGGAAGCCCAGGCGGAATCATAGGCGCCGGATTGAGTTTCCGGCCGGAAGCGTACAGTTGCGTCCCACTGAGGGAAACGTCCTTCCGGTCTCAGCGTCACCGCCTCAATTCAAACCGGGGAGATGGCGGGTAATCCCGAAGCGGTGCCGGTCTCCGCCTCGCAGGATCAAGACGCCCGGACCCCCTCAGACTCCCAGGCCTCGGTGCCCGCCTCTCCCGCGGAGGACTTCCGAGTGCGCTGCACCTTGAAAAGGGCCGTGGCGGAAGTGATGGAGCAATGCGGTCGCTTCGTGCAGGAGCTCGGGGCCGCGCTGCCGGAGGACGTCCGAGACCTCGCGCTGCGGGACGCGCAGTGGGTAGGGCCCGGCCCCGTTCCTTCCCGACCCTTACCCTGCTCAGCCCGGCTCCGGCTCCAGCCCCACAAACTGAATGCAGTCCGAGCTAGGCTGGGACATGTCAGGGAAGGCAGCTAGATGCCAGTGCCGCCCGGTGCTTCCTGTCCGCTGGACATCCAGGGGAAGCGAGCGCGTGTGTAATCTTAAAAGACAGGCTGTATTAGTGCACCCAAATATTTTAAGTGCTCACTTAATACAAAGTGACTCTTGTATGGACCAGCGCAGGTTTACTGTCTGGTAGCAGGAATTCTCCAGGATACGGTAACCCTCGAAGTCAGTCACCTGGCTAGGTTTTGGGTCTTTGCTCTTGCTTGTTGCATCGTGTGAATCGTGTGAACTGTTGCATCGTGTGAATGGAGCAGCAAAAGCCTTTTTCTTTAAGTTGAAAATGGAAGAAGCTGTCTTAATGGAATTTTCCTAAGATCACTAGTTGAACTGGACATGGCAGTGCACGCCCAGCACTTGGAAGGCAGAGGCACGCAAATCTCCGAGTTCAAGATCAGTCTGGTCTGCACGGTGAATTCCAGACCAACCAGGGTGACATAGAGAGACCCTATGCCCCGTACTCCATTGACCCTTATAACCCACTTCCCCCTTCACCTATGTTTTGCAAAACCTTGAAGATGATGGTTTCAGGGGAAGGACACTAGAAGTTGAGGGACAGATACGCAGTCCATATGTAGGGGAAACTTTCAGTCTGGGAATGCGGCACATTTGTGACCAGATGACAGCAGTGCAGGATAAAAATAGAGGTTATCACCGCAAAAAACAAAAATGAGGAGGGGCTGGAGATGTACTTGGTGAAAAGTGTTCTTGTGACATGCATGAGACAGGTTAAGTGAAAGAATAAGGAGAAAACCCTCTTTGGATTGTAATTCTGTATTCCAGTTTTCTGTTATTCCCTTTTGGAATCAAGGCAGGAGGAGAAACATTTAATAACATTTTTAGTAGTTCTTCTGGGAGACAGCTGTAAATAAGAGAACTGGTTTGTCTCATTCTAGAAAATTGCTAAGATATTCAGAACATCTACATACAGAAGACAACTGCGCCTTAACTTCTTACATCCTAGAGGATGAGCTCTTAGAATGGGAAGTAACACTTTGTAGCGGAGTTTTGACTGTGATGATAGACCTCTAGGTAGAACTGAATAAGAGAGCTGCACGTTCTTAGTGATTGCTGAAGCGGCAGTGAGTGTTTCAAAGACAGTTTGTACTCTCATGTACTCTCTGAGAGTTTAACAAAGTATAAGAATCTTTTTCTATGAGGTCTTTTTTCTCCTTTAGTGCGTGGGATTGGATGCAGAGCCTTGCTCACACCATCAAAGTGTTGTTCGCAGCGCTGTATTGTAGCCCTTTTTATAGTAGAATAGAATAGGGCATGAACTTTGACTCATAATTATCAGTCATTTATTATATAAGTGATACAAAAGACATGCTCACTAAAATTTCACAAACCATAGCATGTATTAAGTCCTGTTTGAATTGCCCATCTGTCTGAACCCCTTCTGGAAATAACTCACTGTTTTGGAGAACACGGGGGGGCCTCAGCCTTCTGTCCTTCCTCAGGGTTTGCCACTGTGTTCTTGTTCGTTTTTTATGTGGCCACGCTGCTGAGTGGACCCTGATAGAGCTGGCACAGTCCCCACTGTGTGGTAAGAGCATTTAGCTTTCTCCTAAAGGTTACCTTGGATTTTATTTTTTTTCTCAATTTTCATTTTGTTCCACAGAGATTCCATTATTGTCTTGCTAAAATGTTTGAATTCAGTATTTAGAGTCACTTTTGCTGACTTGACTGCTGTAAATTTATTGCAGACTTTTGAGTCCGCTGTTCAGGAGAATGTCAGCATCAAGGGACAAGCCTGGCAGGAAGCTACGGATCACTGTCTTATGGGTATGTGCTTAACTCTTCCTCTGTCATTAATTTCTCAGGTTGTTTTTGCAGCTAACTTTATTTTGAATGCTATTTTGTAATTTCTATTTTCATTGTTTCTCCGTGGTTGTTTTGAATAATAATGGCCTTCATGGACTTATATGTTTGAATTCATAGTCACCAGGGAGTGGAACTGTTAGAGTAGGATTAGGAGGTGTGGCCTTGTTGGAGGAAGTGTGTCACCGGGAGTGGGCTTAGAGTTTTCAAAAGCCCATGCCAAGCCCAGTCTCTCTCTGCTTGTAGCTCTCAGCTACTTCGGTGCCTGCTTGCATGCCACCATGCTCCCTGCCACGATAATGGACTAAGCCTTTGAAACTGTAAGCAAGTCCCAGTTAAAGCTTCCCTTTATAGGGGTTGCCTTGGTCATGGTGTCTCTTCTCAGCAGCAGAACAGTGACTAAGACACACTCTCCTTCTATCAACATTTCATCTGTTGGATGGAGTTGTGCAACCATGGCACCCTGTGGAGGTCAGAGGGCAGCTTTCAGGAGTTGTGGCTCCAGGAGCAAACTCGGGTCCTCGTTCAGGCTTGGTGGCAAGTGTTTTCACCTGCTGAGCATCTTACTGGCTTCAGTATCATTTATTTTAAAACACATCTAAATTACTGTGGAACGAAAAGAAGAAACTAATGTAGATTACTGAAGTCATAGCCCAAGAGAAGCTCAGTGGGTACCTTGATGTGTCCTGCCTGGTATCCTGAAAGGTCTTTCATCTTCAGATGCTTCTGTCAGTAGACTATTGGAAGTTATTGTAGAATTGTCCTCACTTAAAGAGGCCCAGAGAATACCTGTATTTCCTCATAAGCCAGGCTTTTGGTTTTGCAATGCTTAGATGATACTTAGAATGGACAGTGGTATGTTCTGATGTGTCAAGTTAACCTGTGTGAGTGGTGTGCAGAGGGTGTTACAAATTTGTAGGCAGCGTCTTAAGACTGTTAGTTTACTTCAAAGACTTGATTGTACCTTTGTTTGTTTTTGAGACAGTGTAGCCCTGACTGTCTTCGAACTCTGTAGACCAGGCTGGCCTCAAACTCAGAGATCCACCTGCCTCTGCCTTCCAAGTGCTGGGATCAAAGGCATGCGCTACCAAGCCTGCCTTAGACTTGATCATACCTTACTAATGGCGCTGGCATGCCAAAAAAAAAAAAAAAAAAAAGTGTTAACAGAAAGAGAAAGAAAGGTCAGAGTAGGAAGGAAACATCTGTAGAAAGGAGTGATCAGTTTGAGAAGAGAGAGGCTTCTCTGTATTTGCAGTACTGTCCAGAGAAGGGTGGCCTTGACAAGAGCCACGTGTGCCGTCTGTGTGTCTGGTAACATCACTGAGGGCTGACATTGTTGATGACACTCACTGCTTTGTGTTCACATTGTCCGGTCATTTGAGCTGATTACAGAGCTCCCAGCAACTCTCTGTGACTGTAACTTCTTCTCAGCCATAAGAGAGGGCTCTGCCCAGAGTTTCTTGTCTATTACCTGGGACTATATTAGTTGTCTTTTTACAATTACCAAAATAGATTTGGGGTTTGCACATAAACCCAAACCAACAGCATCTGTTTTGTAAAATATTAACACAATAATTGCTGATTAGTAGGGAATATATTTAAAAGTAGCCAGAAGTAATTTCTACACCATGTAGCTTTTCAGTGGGTCTTTATTTGAAACAAAACGTTGCCCAGAAAGGCAGATGGAGTGAATGGAGCCACAATGAGCGGGGAAGTAAGAGCAGATGTGTCAAGAAAGCTAAGTGAGCTGAGATTGCCACATGCCTCAGAGGCTTTATAAGGGAGTTGTACTTTATCACGTGGTCTTGGAGGACTCACAGGAGTGGGGGTGTGTGCGTGTGTGTTTAGTGCTGGTGAAGGAGTCTACAGACTCATGTCTATCTGTCTTAGGGGAGAACTGTAAGGAGACTTATGTGAATAGGTTTGACAGGCTTTGCTCTGGACAGATATAGGAAGCAAATGCAGGCTTCATGGGGGACAGAGGTTGAATCTGTTCTTTTTTGTTGTTTTTAATTGAGGTTCCCGACGAGCTCCTGCCCCAGGACCGCTCTGGAACTAAGGTAGACCATATATGTGAGGCGGCCTCTTCCCTCCCATTGTGACTGCCCCGGATGGTTCTGGTCACAGGATGTATGGTCAGACAAACTTAGAAGGGCAGTTCCTTGAGAGCAGAGCTCAGCTTTTAGAAATAAATACACATCAAGCATTTGCCCTTTGTTTATACATTGTGCTTTTACAAATTCTACCCCTTGGTGGCGCTAAGAAACCATTTTCCTGCACAGAAGATGTCCCTGATGGCTGATCCCAGAAAGGTGCTTGCTATGCAAACCTGGGCAGAGGTGGAAGGAGAGAAGTGACTCCAGATTTGTTCTTTGACCTCAGCACGCATGCTGTGGCGCGTGTGTTCTCGCCCATCACACACAGTCCCTGGTTTATCCTCGGAGAGCACTGCTGTTTGCTGAGGCTCCGTGACCTTACAGTTTCCTGTCCCAAAGATGTTTCTCCCTGGCTCTTCATCACTCAATGTCTTTGTTTACACCTAGATTTCAACTTAAATGTTATTTCTTTTCGGTCATTAACTCCTGCTGGTGGTGTTTTGTTGCTCTGTATCCTGTGTCTTTATAAACCTGTTGCATTTATCAGGTTACAGCTGTCTGTCTCTTGGGGTCATACTACATTCATCTTTCATTTCCTGTAGGTACTCAATAAGTGAGCAGTACAGAAATGATGGGGCTTA